TGTGTGTGTGTGTGTGTGTGTGTGTGTGTGTGTGTGTGTGTGTGTGTGTGTGTGTGTGTCAAATAGATCATAAAGCACCAGATGTCGACGGGTCTGTTTTTAATTAACACCACATGTCCATTTTATTTTTATTATTGAGCTGAGATCGTTCCACACGTCACGTTTACGCACAATAAAATCTGCCTGCTCTACAACATGTCACAGTATTTACAGAGTTAAGAGTCGTGCTGCTTTCAAGCTGGAATCTTGACATCCTGATGCATTATGGGCTGATTTTAGCCTCGTTAGCTTAGCAAGTTTTCAAGACAGTTTATTGGATCTTTAAGAAATAGTAAATCTTACTTGAACCAGCAGGGGGCAGCATCAACGTCTCAAACTGGCTTCAAAAGACAGAAGCTGACTCCAACTCATCACCTCAAACTAAAGTGAAAATATAAAATTAATCTCTTTATAACAAAATCGAACTTTGTCAGCATCAGCGTCGTCCTTCAGGTTGTTCTTCGTTCGTCATTAATAGACAATGAAGGTGGTTTTTCTGTGGGCGGGGCCTCCATAGACGCTGTTTTCATGTGTTTAAATCTACAACAGTCAATCAATCGTCCTCGGGTTAGTCCACTTTCTTTGGTTTTCGATTTTTCCACATGAGAAGTGCAGTGAAGGCTCCTGTGGAGGGGACAAGTTTTAACTTTAACAAATAATGACACACGTTCTGATCCTGCATGTGATTCTGTGTGCAGAAAATAAAGAGGTGTTATCACCGTGAAATGAGAAAAGTATCATCAGTCTCTTTTACTCACCGATACAGAGGAGCAGTATTACAGCTGCAATCCCAGGCAGAATGACCGAATACTCCCGAGGAAGAAAATACTTGTGCAAAACATGACCACCGTCGACAAAAGGCTGGAAAAGGAGAAAATATCACATCATTCATTTCATTTAAAAACTTTTCTTAATGTTTTTAAAAGACTGAATTCCTGCTGGTGTTTCAATCAAATTAAGTGCAGTTGAAGGATGACGAATAAGTTTACATTGTGACATGGACACGCTCTGGAAAAAGAAAATAATAATCATACAATGATTGTTTTCAATAGGAAACACTTCTTTAAAAACACAGAACGGATTTGGCTGCTTAAAGGTCAAAGAACACAAGTCTGAACATTTAGAGTGAGACCATGTTCACATGTGTACTTCACATGTGTACTTCACATGTTTACTTTACACGACCTTCACAGTCGTAGATGTCCACCCTTCTTGCCCCGTACAGCTTCATTATCTTCCTCATTAAAGGTGATTACGTAAACTTGTGGTGAACCTTTCTTCAGAGTGAGCAGGGTGTGGCTCGTTCTCACCACCTTTTGTTTTCTTCTGGATTCCTGTGATTGTTTTTTTATTATCTGTTTTTAAAAGTTTTTTTTCTCTGATTCTCTCTCACCGACAGTTTTCTGACCCTGTGTCTGCATCACGCTGCTTTGTCATTGGTCGAGGGAGGAAGTCAGAGCGTTTGTTTTGACGCATCTAATGATTAAAATGCACCAGAATCATGAATTAGATGATTAGATTGATTTAATAAGAGGAGTAATCTTTTCAATTATCCAGAGTGATCAGGAATATATACTAACACTCACAACCAAAATCCACTGGAAAGTTTTCATAAACATTAAGAAACGTTAACACACACAAGTGAAAAGCTGGAATTCTTTCTTATAACACTTTGTTTGACTTCAGTTGGGCAGAAAGACTAAATTCAATGAAAACGTTCCCTCACTCTCAAATGCTCCAAATTCTCAAAGATCAGTCGTACTGTTGTGCTCGAGTCTCAACACGTCCGTTTCTGGACTGAAGACATGACGCAGACTTGAAGCACTGTAATAACTCGGAGTGTTGAAACACAGCAGATGTTTGAGAGCATGTGAATGTTGACTCCAGAGTCAAACTGTTGCTGAAAGGAAACAGACCGTACCAGGACGATGACCCACACTGAGTAGTATGTAAACAACAGGAGGCTGAAGATGACGAGACTCATTCCAACAGCCTGATCCACTCCTGTCGCCTGAAACACACGAAAGTGGAAATGTTAAGTTTTTGAAATGAATAACTGATCAATCATCGTGTGACATTCAGGGACACTGAGCTCGGGAGCAGCTGTAGCTCAGTCCAGTGTCCCGGGGGTTAAAAACTGCATGTACACATAAAGAAGAGTGTAAAGAGAATGAATGAAGCTTCTTCTTCTTCTTCTTCGATCCACACAGAACTCCGTTCAAATGTTGCAGAGTTAAACATTAAACATTAAAGTTGAGTTCTGTGTCAACACGACACGGACACACTTGTTCCTCACATCGGACAAATGAACGTGAAGGAAACGTGACTTGAACTAAACTCTGACGTTCATTTGTTCTCTGGACGTTTTGAAATCAGAATTAAAATCTGAAATAAATAATAACGTGACTCGAACAGATTCCGAATAAAGAACACGAGCCTCTGACGTGTCGAGGATTAGAGGCTAGCTTGGCGCTAGCTTGGTGCTAGCTTGGAGTTAGCTTGGAGTTAGCTTGGTGTTAGCTTGGTGCTAGCTTGGAGTTAGCTCGGTGTTAGCTCGGTGCTAGCTCGGTGTTAGCTTGGTGTTAGCTTGGTGCTAGCTTGGAGTTAGATTGGTGTTAGCTTGGTGCTAGCTTGGTGTTAGCTTGGTGTTAGCTTGGTGCTAGCTTGGTGTTAGCTTGGTGCTAGCTTCCTTATCGAGTTAAGACTCTGGATTTCTTCTGTTTCTGTTTGTTAAAGCATCGAACGCTTTGTTTCAGCTCCTCTTTAGCTCCTTTAGCTCCTCTTTAGCTCCTTTAGCTCCTTTAGCTCCTCGTTATTCGTTCTTTTCTCTTTTATTTTTCTTTCTCACCATGTCTGACGTGTTCTGTTGCCTGGTGACGTCACTTGCTGTTCTTCTTCGCGGATTATAATCAGCTCCAGCAGCGAGTCTCTGCTGCCTCCTGCTGGTCACACCGCAGACTGTCACCGTGAGTTCATGTTAAAAACTTTGTAAAACTTCATAAACGCGAAACAGTGACGTCATGTTACTGTAAAAACCTGCAGGGAAATACTAGTACTGATAGAATATATGATAACAAAAGTACTAAGATCAGTGTTATCATGTTATTGAGCTATTATCATATTATAACTATTACTTCTTAATGTTTCATTTGAGTTCTTTAGATTTACTTTACTAAAATAATGGACTATTACCATTATTATTGATGTATTAACATAATTTTAGTGACATTTGTTACAGGTGACTGTGGCTCAGGTGGAGCAGAGGGTTGTGCACTAACCGTTTGGTGGTTTGATCCCCACGTACAGAAATGATAGTGTATGAATGATGTGATGGAGGAAGCACAAACAGATAAAGTCATGAACTTATTAACCTGCAGAGTTAATAATGATACTTAATTATAACATTTTGAAATCAAGAGTTAACAAAAAATGCACAAAGGATTTTGACAGAATGTTACAACA